CCAACATGGTGGAGGTATTTTCGAGCAGTTTTTGTAGATTAATTCTTGAGTAGTAATAGTTGTTTTTTTGTGTCGTTGTTATATTTGTTTTTCTCTATTACGCTTGAAGCTGATTTATACTGTTCTGATTGTTATTAGTTTTTACGTCAAATCTGTACCCTTAGTGGCAATATGGAACTAGCCCACTGTTTGTATTTTGTTTCCTTGGATGATGTGATTTTTTCCTTAATTTTGGTGTGTTGTACTATTAAAAGCTTAATAACTCATAATCTAGTGATTTTATCTGAATCAAACCTCATACCAAAAAAGCTTATAAGAAGTTGAATCCAAACATGCACAAATATATAGGGTGATGCGTTTGAAATTTTTGAGAAATAGTATAATTCGCGTTCTTGACCACCCTGTATGAGCAAACATAAAAATTCGAAAAAGTAACAAATAAGATAAAAGCTTAGGTGTTTAAGTTATTTTGATACAAAATTCAGCACTCCAAATTTCAAAATGGCATTGAGGGGTTGCCGAAGTGGACGGTTTTTCTGGACAAAACACCTTACATCTCAGTAGCTAATTACCAAAATCCTGTATTATTTTATATCAATTTTGTTCTTTTGAATTGGTTTATCCAAATATGCAATAAAATTTGAGGCATTCTTTTTAAAAAATCACAACTTTGATATGTATGTCAAAACTGGGATACCCTGTATAATTGCCAATATTTTAGAAATGTCTCCTCAAATGTCATGTATAACATACTGTAAATAGATTTTCCCAAAATGTATTTGTTTATGGATAATATTTCGTCCACACATGGATGGGCCACCCTGTATATGCAGCAGGTTGCTAAGCTCACACATGTAGTTCGTCGAGCGTGTTCAGTTTCATAAACAAAACATTTTATTTCGCCAAAAGCAAAAAATAAATCACCAAAGATCTATAAAAACAATCTGGATCGACTCTGGAAGGACTCTAGAAGCCTCGGTAGCATTTCAAAGACACTCACCGTGAATTAAAATAATATGGACTGCTCTGATACTGCTGTATGAGTGTGCTTATTATGTTTTGCTTCTTTAGAACCGATGTGCAAACGCATAGAATGTGTTCACGTTTGATCTGATCGACATGCAGCACCGGATTAGATTTTGTTTAAGCGTGATTGGTTTCGCTGAGGCTAACCTCTCGGTAAGCTTAAAACAGTGGTATATACAGAGTGTTTCACAATTTATCGTACAAATTTTAACCACGTATGCACTGTTACGAAATAAGTTGATTTCTCAAAAAAAAATTAATAAAAGTCCTACAGAAATCTAGATAATAAAATAATATAGTTTAACAGTTCACTTGCTTATAAAAGCTGTTCAAAATTGTTTCCAGTGACTGCAATGCAAGCTTGGGCACGTCTAATCCAATTTCAGCGCACTAATTCAAATACGCCTCCTTCCTGCTGTGCCTGAAGGCTCAAATTATCGGCAACCACCATTCGGTCTCGCAATTCTTCAACATTCTGAACTGGAGTACGGTATACCTCGGTTTTCAAGTATCCCCATAAAAAGAAGTCCAAAGGACTTAGATCGGGAGACCGTGGAGGCCATGCGATTGATGCACCCCTTCCGATCCAGCGAATGGCACATCTTCAAGAAGAACCGGCAAATAATTCCGAAGAAATTCCAAATACTGTTGACCATCCATCCGATCTGGCAATATGAACGGTCCAACTAGACGTTCATCGACAATACCTGCCCAAACGTTCAAAGAAAAACGATGTTGGAAGTGTGTCTGAACCCCTGCGTGAGGATTCTCAAAGGACCAAACGTCTGTATTATGAAGATTGGTTATCCCATTACGAGTAAAGATAGCTTCATCGGTGGGCAAAATATCAGCATTTCGAGCATTTTCTGGCAACAACCACTCACAAAATCTTACTCTTAGAGGGTAGTCTGTGGGTAGCAAAGCCTGGACACTCTGGACGTGATAAGGGTACAGTTGGGCCTCATGTAATAAGCGCCACGCTGTTGCATGTGACACTTCTGGGACCTGTTGGGATAACTGCCTTATGCTTATTACCGGATGTTCTTCCACAATATCCAAAATTTCGTCTTGAATAGCTGATTTTTGCTATATGGGCGCCCATGGACCCCGGATTTCGATCTGCCTTGGAGCCCCGTCAGCCGCAGGCCCCAATCTACCGGTGTGCCCAAGGGCCCCTGCATAGCTCAAGAAGGCTTTGACGCTGATTGAGGAATGTCGAAAATGGAATGTAGAAGTAAAAGGTACGCAATACTCCTGTATTGGGCAAGAGGGAGCTCTCGAGGATCCTGAGATTAAAGGAAAAAATTATAGTTCTAATGAGTAAATCTGTTTGGGAGTAAGAAGTGAAGAATGTTTCTAGGATAGGATGGTAAAAAAAGAAACTGAGATGAGTATGAGCATTGAACTTAGTACCATGGACTGCCAGAAGTTGAAAAATTGATTTATATATTATACGATGAACATCGAATCAACAAAACGGCATTAAAATCGTTAATCAAATACTTAAAACATATAGTGCTTTTCAAGAAGACCCCCTCACGAACAGATCAAGCAGTTGGAAACTTTAGTGGCAGATGGTCGCCACCTACGGAACATTTTTTTAAGGTGAACGGGGGTAGTGAATAGGCAGGCTGTTGAAGATGAGCATTTTTATGTACAGGGTGTCCCAGAATATGTGAATCAAATTGCAATGCGAGATACCTTAGATAATGACCTCTCAATTGCGGTACAGACCTGACAAAAAAAACGTGTAACCTTTGCGTTAAAACAAAAAATTAGTTTTTCTGAAAAAGTATGACATTCGTCAAACTTTCGACGACAGGTGCCGCGTTTAGGGTTTATTTTAATTTTTTTTTACTTTATTATTAGTGAATGATTGAAGCATGAAACTACAAACAGTTTTATTCTAAAACTCACGTAATTTTGAAATCGCAGCGCTATTTTGGAATTTTTTTTCTGCATCAAAAAGATTCTTGTAAGTTCGACTAACAGTGGTATAAGAAAAATGTATGGGACTTGTTTGGCAAACCTCTCCGACAAATAGCCCTGTTAATGAAGATTCGAAAATGGTACAAATCAGGTAATTTACCTCAACAGAGTAGGAGAATAAAAATTCTTAGAGTGCAAGGGCGAAATTGGTCAAATTTCAAAATTACAATTTTTAAATCATAATTGCCTGTACGTTCAAACCATTGCGTGAAACCTTAGAATCGGCATCAAAAAGTTGTTTCAATGTCCGGTAGACCGAACAAAACACATGCTAGCTCGCTCAAGGTCGGCTAAAATTATTTGTGTTGTCGCACTTATTCCCAGAATTTAAGAAGGGGGCAGGGGCAGGCAGCGCAGGTAAAAACTGGATCGCGATAACAATACTGCCTCACTCTAGCGTTTTGTGTTATTAGTGAAGCTGATCTCACTCTCATCCTTTTTATTCAGTGCGACGTTTGACGCTCTACGCTACACCTGTACTCTAATGTCTCCTGTGATTTAACTGTTACGATCATGCTCTACTGTAGACTTGAACATTTTTTGCTCGTGATTCGGATTTCTTTGATGAATCTCAACGACTTGGCGCTACTGCGGAAATTGATTTTCTCCACATTATGGCTAATCGACGACCAGATGTACATTGTTACACGGCAAGCGAGTATGCTGACATGCATCTTGTTTATGGAGAAACAAGGCGTATTAACACTAGAGGTGGAGCAAGTTATTCTGCCAGAAAGGCTGCCAGGATTTACGCTGAGCGGAATCCGAACCGTCAGCACCCAGCTTATGGAGTATTTTTAAGAGTACACGACGCTTACTCACAGGGTCGATTTCCTGGTGGTCCTCGTAGTGAAGGAAGACCTCGGAGACATAACGACGATGTTGTTGTAGAGCACGTAACAACGGATCCGTCGACGTCGCTGCGCGCTATTGAACGAAGAACTGGCATTCCAAGATCATCTGCACACCGAATACTGCAAACGTTAAGATACCATCCGTATCAGATGCAAAAGGTGCAGTTTGTTTTAAATAGAGATTATGCACCGCGTGTACAATTTTTTGCCGAAAAATTATCGAGCTAAGCCGAGAAGACCCCAACTTTTTTAATCTACATAGCTGGCAAATAACAAACCCTCATTTAATAAGAGAGGACCGTTCTCAGTACCCGTTCAAAATCAATTTATGGACTGGGATTTTTAACGGCAGCCGCGTTTAGGGTTTATTTTAATTTTTTTTTACTTTATTATTAGTGAATGATTGAAGCATGAAACTACAAACAGTTTTATTCTAAAACTCACGTAATTTTGAAATCGCAGCGCTATTTTGGAATTTTTTTTCTGCATCAAAAAGATTCTTGTAAGTTCGACTAACAGTGGTATAAGAAAAATGTATGGGACTTGTTTGGCAAACCTCTCCGACAAATAGCCCTGTTAATGAAGATTCGAAAATGGTACAAATCAGGTAATTTACCTCAACAGAGTAGGAGAATAAAAATTCTTAGAGTGCAAGGGCGAAATTGGTCAAATTTCAAAATTACAATTTTTAAATCATAATTGCCTGTACGTTCAAACCATTGCGTGAAACCTTAGAATCGGCATCAAAAAGTTGTTTCAATGTCCGGTAGACCGAACAAAACACATGCTAGCTCGCTCAAGGTCGGCTAAAATTATTTGTGTTGTCGCACTTATTCCCAGAATTTAAGAAGGGGGCAGGGGCAGGCAGCGCAGGTAAAAACTGGATCGCGATAACAATACTGCCTCACTCTAGCGTTTTGTGTTATTAGTGAAGCTGATCTCACTCTCATCCTTTTTATTCAGTGCGACGTTTGACGCTCTACGCTACACCTGTACTCTAATGTCTCCTGTGATTTAACTGTTACGATCATGCTCTACTGTAGACTTTGAACATTTTTTGCTCGTGATTCGGATTTCTTTGATGAATCTCAACGACTTGGCGCTACTGCGGAAATTGATTTTCTCCACATTATGGCTAATCGACGACCAGATGTACATTGTTACACGGCAAGCGAGTATGCTGACATGCATCTTGTTTATGGAGAAACAAGGCGTATTAACACTAGAGGTGGAGCAAGTTATTCTGCCAGAAAGGCTGCCAGGATTTACGCTGAGCGGAATCCGAACCGTCAGCACCCAGCTTATGGAGTATTTTTAAGAGTACACGACGCTTACTCACAGGGTCGATTTCCTGGTGGTCCTCGTAGTGAAGGAAGACCTCGGAGACATAACGACGATGTTGTTGTAGAGCACGTAACAACGGATCCGTCGACGTCGCTGCGCGCTATTGAACGAAGAACTGGCATTCCAAGATCATCTGCACACCGAATACTGCAAACGTTAAGATACCATCCGTATCAGATGCAAAAGGTGCAGTTTGTTTTAAATAGAGATTATGCACCGCGTGTACAATTTTTTGCCGAAAAATTATCGAGCTAAGCCGAGAAGACCCCAACTTTTTTAATCTACATAGCTGGCAAATAACAAACCCTCATTTAATAAGAGAGGACCGTTCTCAGTACCCGTTCAAAATCAATTTATGGACTGGGATTTTTAACGGCAGAATTGTGGGTCCAGTGGAATTACCTGCAACATTAAATTCGGCAAATTATTTAGAACTATTGAGAGACACATTGCCGAGACTTTTAGCAGAAGAACCAGAGGATTCAGTACAAACAATGTGGCTACAAAATGACGGATGCCCAGCCCATTTTGCACGTGAAGTGAGGGAATACCTTGATGAGGCTTTTCCTAGGCGGTGGATTGGCCGTCTGGGGCCAATTCTATGGCCACCAAGGTCGCCAGACCTAAACCCTCTAGATTTCTTTTATTGGGGTTGCCTCAATGATAAAATTTATTCGCGACCGAACACACCGATTGAATCCCTGGAAGAATTAAGAGAGCTGCACAACAAATTTCTGTTATGAGCTTGCGGCGCCTAAAACAAAATTTTTTGAGAAGATGTGCATTGTGCATTCGTACTGGTGGCAGACACTTTGAACATCTTTTATGAGAATCGTAATTGGTTACTTCTTTATTGATGTTTTTGGTTGATTAAAGTTGAAAATTGAAAGTACTTTTCTGTTTACCTTACATTGAAACACCAGTTTTTGATTCTTATACTTTTTTAAACAAGTATTGTACGGCGTGACAATAGTTTGAACATTCGATCAACGTGAAAAGCAATTATGATTTGAAAACTGTAATTCTGAAATTCGACCCATTTCGCCCTTGCACTCTAATTTTTATTCTCCTACTCTGTTGAGGTAAATTACCTGATTTGTACTATTTTTGAATCTTCATTAACTGGGCTATTTTTCGGAGAGGTTTGCTAAACAAGTCCCTTACATTTTTCTTATACCACTGTTAGTCGAACTTACAAGAAACTTTTTGGTGCAGAAAAAAAATTCCAAAATAGCGCAGCGATTTCAAAATTACGTGACTTTTAGAATAAAACTGTTTGTAGTTTCATGCTTCAATCATTCGCTAATAATAATAGTGAAAAAAAAATGAAAATAAACCCTAAACGCGGCACCTGTCGTAGAAAGTTTGACGAAAGTTATACTTTTTCAAACAAACTGATTTTTTGTTTTAGCGCAAAGGTTACACCTTTTTTGTCAGGTCTTTACCGCAATTGAGAGCTCATTATCTAAGGTATCTCCCATTGCAATTTGATTCACATATTCTGGGACATTGTATTGCTTATAACTAAGTAACTCAATATTACATCAAAATTCTTCGCTTGGAAGGATTTTTACGAATATCTGTTGGAACTGAAAACATATCAAAATCTGTGAACTTAATATTATATTGCACATTCAGAAAGACTCTTCCAAAAATGAAGACTTTAGGTGATTCCTTGCTGGCTTGGATAAGAAGCTACCGAATATGGAGAAAGCATGTGGTAAAAATGTTTGCTATCTGAGATAACTATGTCATAAGGTGTCCCTCAGGGGAGTCATTTATCTCCGCTCGTGCTTTTTTGTTTCGTAATTGGGATCTTCTACTGTATGCTGATAATCTGAAAATCATCAAAGTATTTACTGAGCCAACTGATGTCATAAACTTTAAGAAGACATTAATATTTGTAATTTCATTAGGTGGTGCAATTTGAATGGAATGCAATTAAATATAAGTGAGTGTAAGGTCATGAGTTTTTATAGGATACATAAAGCAATTAATTTTAACTGGAATCTGTAGTAATGGAAAAAGTTTATATCATAAAAGACCTCGCGGTTACTTTGGATTATATTCTTGCTTTTAAAAATCACATGGAATATATAACCAATAAGGCAATGAGGCTTTTGGGGTTTATTGTTCAAACATTGAAGGATTTTCTAAAGATTTTTTCTTCAAAAGACATCCACTGTGCAATAATAAGATCCATTTTGAAATATGCTTGTTCTGTTCTTACTATAAAATTCATATGAATGGAACAGAGCGCATACAAAAAATTTTTAAAACATATAGCATATAAACTGAAAATATCATCAGAAAAGAAGAATAAGACCAGTGTAAATACTCAGCGTTATGTTCTACGTTTATAAAGCAGCCATAAGGAACTTTAAAATGAGGTATCACATACCCCTTCCTACTTTTTTTATAGTTGAACCACGTGGACTCCAGCGAAGAACAATGGTTGCCCGCATGCAACATGCACACATTCTGGCCCAGCCTTAGAGATCCGTCGGGTGGTACTTCCACATTCAACAGTTATCTTGGGACACGTAGCGTCTACCAATATTCCACCGACATAAATAATTGGAATTAAGAAACAAACAAAAAATACCCTCAAAATTGATCCATCAAAGATATCTCCAAGAACTGCATAGAACATTTTAATAGTAGGTTAGATTACCAGATTTACTTCCTCTGCAACACGATATAGCTTCATAAGGAGAGCTCATCCCTTCACTGTCCCCTTTTCTATCAACATGCACACATTCTGGCCCAGCCTTAGAGATCCGTCGGGTGGTACCTCCACATTCAACAGTTATCTTGGGACCCGTAGCGTCTACCAATATTCCACCGACATAAACAATTGGAATTAAAAAACAACAAAATAATACCCTCAAAATTGATCCATCAAAGATATCTCCAAGAACTGCATGGAACATTTTAACAGTAGGTTAGATTACCAGATTTACTTCCTCTGCAACACGATATAGCTTCATAAGGAGAGATCATCCCTTCACTGTCCCCTTCTCTATCAATGTTTAAAATGACAGATTAGAATAATATTCTCCACGACATGAACCACGTTCTGTCCTTTGGCCATTATTCGGTTAATTCAATGATCGTTGGCATCGTCGCGCCTCCTGTCGCCCAAAGCAAACAGAGGGAGCCACCGGGCGGCAGCACGTGCGAGAAGCACGCATCGTGCACGTGCCGGTCGGTGCCGTCTTCCATCCGAAACAATGCAAAGTGGCTGGATCGCGTTCTGTTGGTTCTAAGATTTGGGGATGTGATAGGAAAGCGCACGTTGGAAAGGGGATATGGTACACTGAGAAAACATGGTCAGTTGAACAGCTGTACTGGAAAACTTTCATTATTCGTAATACATTTAATAATTTCTCTAAGTAACTAAATTATCCTGAATTTTCTGGAACGAGTTTAATCGAAAGTAACATCGTATTAAACTAATTTACTTGAAAATAGCAAACCATGTACATGTCTTTATAAACTGTTTAATTAGTTCAAGTAATTCAGATTATGTAGAAAAGGTGCATTTGAATCCATTAAACACTTTAATAAAAACAATTAAACTATTTATTTGAATCGCGGACTCGGCACTTCATTCGTGAATGATCAGGGATATGCGACAGACGCAGCGCTGGTATCGCGGTTCAAACTCCTCAGTTTCATTTGTGATTTTCGCGAGGAGCTTCATATTCGAATGTTTCCGTGGTTGGTGTATTAGCTGCGATATAGATCACTTATGGCGATCAAGTGAAGTACTCTACTAAGCATAAGGCGCTTAAAGACACATAACCATGGTTAGAATATTTCATGCTCCAAATGGAACAGTGTGTATAGGGGAGTCGCTGCTGACATGACGGAATTGGAAGAACTTTGAAATTTTATTTATGCAGGCATATTTAGGTCAGTGAAGGGCATTTACACCTAACATGAGCTTAACATAAGTTTGATGTGATTTTCTTTTATATTGTATAATGTATATAATGGAAGTGGTAGTCGTAGTAGTTTGTTTCAGGTGCTGTCGAAATTATTTATATATGGAAATGCGTTGATTGGGGGTGAATGAAATACTGTTTTATTATAAGAAATAAAAGTGCAATTTTTGTACACACGATTAAGAGGCCTTATTCAGTTTCAGGTATCATTTTCCCTACTTTCTGAATTTAAAACAAAGAATTGATTCTAGTGAATGGTGATTTATAACCTGTTTCTCGACAAGCAGGCAAATAGTTTGTATGTATATGTAAGTTCACAATCAATGTAAATAAAAAATTTCGAATTTTGTTAGGGTTATAAAATTCCTATGTTTTTATTCTGTTATGAAAATATCAAGTAACCAAATTTTATTTGGTATAAGATTTGTCAGAGCACAGTTATAACATACATCATTCAGTAAAACGCAATTTGTTTATGTAATTTCAAATATTATCCAAATATCATTTTCAATCTAAATGAAATAATTCATTACGACTATGCAAACACTTTTACTTAAACTAGTTAAACAAACTTAATAAATATAATTAAATTTATTTACTAATAGTTCATTCAGTTGTATAGATTCAAGTAAACTGTTTCAGAAACCGGAGTTTAATTGAGCTGATTAAACTTGCCTGTCACATTGTTAATTGGAATTTTTAAATGGCCTTATTAAATTTTTTACTGCTTCAATTAAATCTTTTTCTCCGTGCGGTGGATTGGATATGCTGTATTTGCGAATTGATTATCGTATTCCCCAATAATTCACTTAGAAACAAGTCTTCGAAGCCTTCACTCCTCAACGTCCCTCGCAATTATTCCCAAAATCAAGATGTGGCAATGCTAACAATTAAAGACGCTGGTCTTTAAGTATATAGGGCATTCAAGAATAATATGTCAATTTCTCGTATGCATATAAAATAATATCACCGGATTCAGACTAGGTAAAAGGAACAAGCTTTCGATTTACTTTTCTCCAAAATCTTAGTCTGTATGAAAATGCAAACTACAAGTGGACTTGACATAAGTTAGTTTTTTGACACTTCTGTGATCAAATTCGTATTGTTAGTGATATTTTCGGAAAGCGCGAGTTTTTGCAGATAATTGTGAGCCTAGACGTCATTTGCAGCGGCAAAAACCTAATGAAGGTCTTTCCACCACTAGGTATATTACTATGTTGATATAACGTCACTTTGGTAGGCAATCGTAGTAACAACCTTTATTTTAGAAAGTCCAAATATTTTACAACAAGAACAAGCAAACAT